AAATGAATGAGGAACGAACAAGAGAAAGTGAGAGAGAGAGGGGAGAGAGATAAAAAGAAATAATAAAGAAACGATGAAGAGAAGGAGACAAGAGAAAGAGAGAGAATAAAGATAAAGGGAGAGAGAAAAGAGAGAGGGGAGAATAAAGATGAAATGAATGAAAGGAAACAAGAGAAAGTGAGAGAGAGGGGAGAGAGATAAAAGAGAGAATAAAGATGAATGAGAAGCGAACAAGAGAACAGAAGAATATAGAGAAAGGGAGAGAATAAAGAAGAGAGAATAAAGATGAATGAGAAGGGAACATAAGAGAAAAGATGAATGAAGAGAGAGAGGGGAGAGAGATAAAGATAAAGAGAGAATAAAGATGAATGAGAAGCGAACAAGAAAGAAAGGGAGAGGAGATAAAGAGAGAGAATAAAGATGAATGAGAAGCGAACAAGAGAAAGTGAGAGAGATAAAGAGAGAGAATAAGGATGAATGAGAAGGAACAAGTGAAAGTGAGAGAGGGGAGAGAAAGAGAGAGAATTAAAGATGAATGAGAAGCGAAAGAGAAAGTGAGAGAGAGAGGGGAGAGAGAAAAGAGAGAATAAAGATGAATGAGAAGCGAACAAGAGAAAGTGAGAGAGAGGGGGAGAGAGATAAAGAGAGAGAATAAAGATGAATGAGAAGCGAACAAGAGAAAGTGAGAGAGAGGGGGAGAGAGATAAAGAGAGAGAATAAAGATGAATGAGAAGCGAACAAGAGAAAGTGAGAGAGAGGGGAGAGAGATAAAGAGAGAGAATAAAGATGAATGAGAAGAACAAATAAAAATAGAGAGGGGGAGAGAGATAAAGAGAGAGAATAAAGATGAATGAGAAGCGAACAAGAGAAAGTGAGAGAGAGGGGAGAGATTAAGAGAGAGAATAAAGATGAATGAGAAGCGAACAAGAGAAAGTGAGAGAGAGGGGAGAGAGATAAAGAGAGAATAAAGATGAATGAGAAGCGAACAAGAGAAAGTGAGAGAGAGGGGGAGAGAGATAAAGAGAGAGAATAAAGATGAATGAGAAGCGAACAAGAGAAAATGAGAGAGAGGGACGAGAGATAAAGAGAGAGAATAAAGATGAATGAGAAGCGAACAAGAGAAAGTGAGAGAGAGGGGGAGAGAGATAAAGAGAGAGAATAAAGATGAATGAGAAGCGAACAAGAGAAAGTGAGAGAGAGAGAGAGGGGGAGAGAGATAAAGAGAGAGAATAAAGATGAATGAGAAGCGAACAAGAGAAAGTGAGAGAGAGGGGGAGAGAGATAAAGAGAGAGAATAAAGATGAATGAGAAGCGAACAAGAGAAAGTGAGAGAGGGGAGAGATAAAAGAGAGAATAAAATGAATGAGAAGCGAACAAGAGAAAGTGAGAGAGAGGGAGAGGGTAGAGAATAAAGATGAGAAGAATAGAGATGAATGAGAGAGAGAAGGGGACAAGAGATCCATAGAGAATAGAGAAGGAATGAGAAGATAAAGAGAGAGAATAAAGAGAATGAGAAGAGAATAAAGATGAATGAGAAGGAACAAGAGAAAGGAGAGAGGGGAAGATAAAGAGAGAGAATAAAGATGAATGAGAAGCGAACAAGAGAAATGAGAGAGGGAGGGACGAGAGATAAAGAGAGAGAATAAAGATGAATGAGAAGGAACAAGAGAAAGTGAGAGAGGGGGAGAGATAAAGAGAGAGAAGAAAGATGAATGAGAAGCGAACAAGAGAAAGTGAGAGAAAGGGGAAGAGAGAAAAGAGAGAATAAAAGATGAATGAGAAGGAACAAGAGAAAGTGAGAGAGAGGGACGAGAGATAAAGAGAGAGAATAAAGATGAATGAGAAGCGAACAAGAGAAAGTGAGAGAGAGGGGGAGAGAGATAAAGAGAGTGAATAGAGATGAATGAGAAGCGAACAAGAGAAAATGAGAGAGAGGGACGAGAGATAAAGAGAGAGAATAAAGATGAATGAGAAGGAACAAGAGAAGTGAGAGAGAGGGGGGAGAGATAAAGAGAGTGAATAGAGATGAATGAGAAGGAACAAGAGAAAATGAGAGAGAGGGACGAGAGATAAAGAGAGAGAATAAAGATGAATGAGAAGCGAACAAGAGAAAGTGAGAGAGAGGGGGAGAGAGATAAAGAGAGAGAATAAAGATGAATGAGAAGCGAACAAGAGAAAGTGAGATAGAGGGGAAGAGAGATAAAGAGAGAGAATAAAGATGAATGAGAAGCGAACAAGAGAAAGTGAGAGAGAGGGGGAGAGAGAAAAAGAGAGGAATAGAGATGAATGAGAAGGAACAAGAGAAAGTGGAGAGGGAGAGAGATAAAGAGAGTGAATGGAGATGAATGAGAGAAGCGAACAAGAGAAAAATGCGAGAGGGACGAGAGATAAAGAGAGAAATAAAGATGAATGAGAAGCGAACAAGAGAAAGTGAGAGAGAGAGAGGGGAGAGATAAAAGAGAGAATAAAGATGAATGAGAAGCGAACAAGAGAAAGTGAGAGAGGGGGGAGAGATAAAGAGAGAGAATAAAGATGCATGAGAAACGAACAAGAGAAAGTGAGAGAGAGGTGGAGAGAGATAAAGAGAGAGAATAAAGATGAATGAGAAGCGAACAAGAGAAAGTGAGAGAGAGGGGGAGAGAGATGAAGAGAGAGAATAAAGATGAATGAGAATTGAACAAGAGAAAGTGAGAGAGAGGGGGAGATAGATAAAGAGAGAGAATATAGATGAGAGAGAAGCGAACAAGAGAAATTGAGAGAGAGGGGAGAGAGATAAAGAGAGAGAATAAAGATGAATGAGAAGCGAACAAGAGAAAGTGAGAGAGAGGGGGATGTGAGATAAAGAGAGAGAATAAAGATGAGAGAGAAGCGAACAAGAGAAAGTGAGAGAGAGGGGGAGAGAGATAAAGAGAGAGAATAAAGATGAATGAGAAGCGAACAAGAGAAAGTGAGAGAGAGGGGGAGAGCGATAAAGAGAGAGAATAAAGATGAGAGAGAAGCGAACAAGAGAAATTGAGAGAGAGGGGGAGAGAGATAAAGAGAGAGAATAAAGCTCTGTGAGAAGCGAACGAGAGAAAGTGAGAGCGAGGTGGTGAGAGATAGACAAAAAAATCAAGAGAAAGAAGACAGCCAAAAGGGAAAAAGATAGCTGAACAGATAAAACAGAGAGAGAGAGAGAGAGAGAGAGAGAGAGAGAGAGAGAGAGAGAGACAGTGGGAGAGAGAGAAGAGAGAAGAGAGAAGAGAGAGGGAAAGCGAGATAGAGACTGGAGGGAATGCAGTAAACCTTCTTCGTAGACCAGCTATCCTTTTTATCATCGTGGAAGGAATTCTTAAAACATAACAGAATAAATATTAAGTTACATTAGGTGGGTTGATTTGATAAGTCCATCCCTCTAGGGTGGACATACAGTTTTTTCTTTTTCATTTCGAATCTATAGGCCTCGAGATAATATATAAATATATATATATATATATATATGTATGTGTGTGTGTGCGTGTGTGTAAATATATATTTAGTTGCGTTGATGTGAGTTTGTGACCCTGACGATAGCAAAGGGCGTGAAACCCCAGAGTCACAGATTCACATCAACGCAACTTAATATGTTAGCTTTATGATAGATATTGAGCGCTTTCCAATAAGTACCGCGCATGTATAATATATAAATAATATAAAAACCACATATGTATATTGATTAAATACATATATTTAATACTAGCAGGGGATATAACAGTAAGAGATAGATCAAGTATCGACCATCATAAAGACTGAAAAATAAAATTGACAAAGATTATTGTTTAAGGTTGACGGACACGCATGTCTTAATTAGTTTTTTTTTTTTTTTACGAATTGGTCAAACCCAAACTGAAACAAAAACATTGTTTTCAATCATTATGAGTCTATCGATTGAATAGAATTTTATTATAAAACATTGTCTTGTAAATGGAATTTTTAAAGCATTCTGAATGGAAAAATAAAGAAAAAAGTGTGCAAGACAATAAGAAACACTACATGTCAAAAGAAAGTGAAGTTTTGTTGAAATCGGTTGAAAAATGTAGGAAATCCGATCCCATATATAAACGAACACACACACACACACACACACACACACACACACACACACACACACACACACACACACACAACCAACCTGGGTTTTATAAGTATAACTCAATATGAGTTGTCCCCCTTTCATTCTCGCGATGACTCTTAATCGTGTTTTCAAATTGATTTCGTGCAAAAACAATTGTGTTTTTCCAATTTTGGCGCTGTCAGAACCACCGCAAGGTAATTTTACGTAGTCCTGTGAAGTTTTGTTGAAATCGGTTGAAAATGTAGGAAATCCGATATATAAACGACACACACACACACACACACACACACACACACACACACACACACACACAACCTGGGTTTTATAATAAGTATGATATATATGTGTGTGTGTGTGTGTTTGTGTTATATATATATATATATATATATATATATATATATATATATAAATTAAAATTTAAAAATTGTTATTTTTCGTACAGTTCAACCATGTTTCAAAAATAGAAGCTAAAACTTCTAATTTTAATTAGGAGTTTTTAGTTTTAGTTCTATTTTGAAACATGGTTTGGAACTGTGTAGCGAAAATAACTATATTTTAAATCAATTAATTTATAATATTAATGCAAAATTTACATTGAGCAATATTTTGTAAAAATAAAATATCTATAAGAACACCGGATTTTATATCTTACTGTTTCTTTCTTTTTATTTATATATATATATATATATATATATATATATATATATATATAAATATATATATATATATATATATATATATAAAATGCAAGAAAATGCGAAACCGGACGGAAATGAAATCTATCAATAACAAAACAAAGATATATATCAAGGAACCAAACGAACCCAGAAATATTTAAAAAAAAGTAACACATTAATGAAAAGGAAAAAAAAAAGGCAACATTTTCATTCATAGAAATAACACTGACATGTGTGCAAATATTGGTTTCCTTTATTTTTTGCAAAGTCTTTCCTTGATCCGTTCATCGGCATCTCCCTCCCTCCCCCACCCCGCTTCTTTAACCGTTGCTGTCTTTGTAATTATTTTCTCTGCTTTTTGCATAATTCCATGCAAATTCTTTATTTTCCTTTCCTGTTTATACGATGGGCGAAGTAAGCACTGACGTTTTAGGAAATCTAATAAGATAGTCTGCTTTAGATTCTTCAGCAACATCCTCTTTCTCACCTGCTTCTTTCGTCTTTCTTCTTTAAATTCATCTTCTTCTTCATCTTTTTCCTTCCTCCATTTTTCTTCGCTAAATATTACTTAGTCTTCTTTTTCTTCTTTCATCTTTCTTCTTTAAATTCTTCTTTTTCATCTTTTTTTATTCGTTCATCTTCCTTAAATTCTTTAACCTTTTCTTTCATTTTTCTCCTTTAAATTCGACTGCTTCATCGTCTTTTTTTTCATTCTTTTTTCTTCTTTAAATTCTTCTTCTCCATCTTTTATTTTTCATTTTATTCTTCTTGAAATTCTTCTTTTTCATCACTTTCCTTTTTTCATTTCTTCTTTAAATATTACTTATTCTTCTTCATCTTTTCTTCTCACTTTTTTCTTCTTTAAATCCTTTTACTTCTTTATCTTTTTCTTCATTTTCTTCTTTAAATTCTTTTTTTCATCTTTTTTCTTCTTTCTTCATTAAATTCATCTTCTTCTTCATCTTTTTCTTCATTCTTTTTTCTTCTTTAAGTTCTTCTTCTTCGCCTTTTTCATTCGTTCATTTTTCTTCTTTAAATTCTTCTTCATCCTTTTGCTTTCATTTTTCTTCTTTAAATTGTTCTTTTTCATCTTTTTTCATTTTCCTTCCTTAAATTCTTCTTCTTCATCTTTTCTTCTTCCATTTTTCTTCTTTAAATTTTACTTCTTCTTTTTCATCATTTTCTTTCGTTTTTCTTCTTTACTTTAAATCTTTTCTTTTATTTTTCTTTAAATTCTTTTTTTTTCTTCTTTCATTTTTCTATTTTAATTTAAATCCTTCTTTCTTTCCCACCCGCCCTAACGAGCTTCCGTCTCCCTTTTCTATAAATATTTTCACGGTGATTATTCGCATGATATTTGCTCTATGGTACCTAGACTTTATGATTTTAAGCGCAGTACTAGATTGGCGGTAAGGTCTCATCATTTTACAGTTGAAATGGCTCGAGGTAACCGTAAGTTCTATGCTGACAATTTCTTCTTTCGCACTTCTTGTTGGTGAACTCTCTTCCGGCTTCTTGCTTCCTAGTCAACTTTAATCTTCAAAAATGCGAATTTACTGTCTCCTTGGTTCCTCTTCTAAAGTTCTCACTCCTTAATAATGTTTTTTTTTTTTATTTTTCTTATTCTTTCACACTCAGTTACCTCTTGTGAGTTAGTGGCTTTATTGCCTTGCTTGGGGTGATATGATTTAAAAAATAGTACTTTTTCAGATTATTCATTTTCACCTTTTCCTTCTTCATATTCTTATATGTATTCTTTAAAATTTTTATTTTTCAGATTTTTCATCTTCTTCATTTTTTCTTCTTCATTTTTTCTTCCTTCCTTTTTCTTCTTCATTTTTTCTTCTTCATTTTTCTTCCCTTTTTCTTTTTCATTTTTCTTCTTCATTTTTTCTTCCTTCCTTTTTCTTCTTCATTTTTTCTTCTTCATTTTTCTTCTTCATTTTTCTTCTTCCCTTTTTCTTCTTCGTTCTTTCTTCTTCCCTTTTTCTTCTTCATTTTTTCTTCTTCCCTTTCTCTTCTTCATTTATTCTTCTTTCCTTTTTCTTCTTCATTTTTTCCCTTTTTCTTCTTCATTTTTTCTTCTTCATTTTTACTTCTTCCCTTTTTCTTCTTCATTTGTTTTTCTTCATTTTTTCTTCTTCCCTTTTTCTACTTCATTTTTTCTTCTTCGTTTTTTCGTCATTTTTTCTTCTTCATTTTTCTTCTTCCCTTTTTCTTCTTAATTATTTCTTCTTCCCTTTTTCTTCTTCATTTTTCTTCTCTTTTTCTTCTTCATTTATTCTTCTTTCCTTTTTCTTCTTCTTCATTTTTTCCTTTTTCTTCTTCATTTTTCCTTCTTCCCTTTTTCTTATTCATTTTTCCTTCTTCCCTTTTTCTTCTTCATTTTTCTTCATTATTTCTTCTTCCCCTTTTCTTCTTCATTTTTACTTCTTCCCTTTTCCTTCTTCATTTTTTCTTCTTCCCTTTTTCTACTTCATTTTTTTTCTTCTTCATTTTTCTTCTTCCCTTTTTCTTCTTCATTATTTCTCTTTCCCTGTTTCTTCATTTTTTCTTCTTCATTTTTCTTCTTCCCTCTTTCTTCTTCATTTTTTCTTTTTCAAATTCATGTTCATCTTTTTCTTGACTTCCTTTAAATTCTTTTTCAAATCTTGTCCGTTTTTTTATAATATTCTTCTGGCTTTTAACTCTTTCTTTTTTTTTCCCAAATTCTTTTTACATTTTTCCCAAAATTCTTTTTCTTCTTCATTTTTTCTCTAATTCTTTTACATTTATCATTTTCTTACACAATTTCTTTTTTTTTTTATTTTATTCATATTTTTCCCCAATTCTTTTTCATTTTTCTCAAAATTCTTTTTTCCTTTTTTCATTTATTTCCCCGAATTCTTTTTCATTTTTTTTTCTCTAATTCGTTTACCTTTGAATTTTTCCCCAAATTCTTCTTCTTTCTCAGTTTTTTTTTTCACAAATTCTTTTTCATTTTATTCATTTGTTCCCAAATTCTTTTTCATTTTGTTTTTCCAAAATTCTTCTTTTTCATTTTTTTTTTTTTCAAAATTCTTCTTTCATTTTTTTTTCCCCAAATTCTTTTTCTTTTAAAATCTAGTTATTGATATTCGACTAGTATCATTCTTTTGTTGTTTTTCGAAACGCAACGCTTTTTCGCCATTAAATGAAACAGATGTACCCAAGGATCTCATTTCCCATGTTCCCATCTTTCATGAGCGACGCTTAAACTAATTACGTTACCAAAACAGTCATAACAAGGCAGAGCTTTTATCTTTAGTCGATCTACCACAGGATCTGGATTTTTTTTTTTTCTTTTTTTTTTTTGCGACACTTTGTTTATGATTCACGACCGGACCACATAAAATGCGGCGAAATCGAAATGTGTCCTATTATAGATTGTATCTCCTTCATCCGGCAACGCTGAGACCTGGCCATTGCTGGACCACATAAAAATGCCGGAAAACGAAAACATTTTTCAATATACATCTTAAAGATAACAGAAATCAATAATATCTACCAAAAACACTTATAATTACCAGAATTCAGCATTTTTTCAAGGCGAGCAGAAGTAAGTGCTCGATAGAAAACAAGAGCGACAATGGTCGACAAATTAATAAGGTTCAATTGACTTATCTTTCGACTGACAAATTTTCCCGTACAAACAGCTCATCAGATGTCGAAAAATCTATTGAATTATTACCAGATACCATCAAGGCATTTGGACGTAGTGTAATAGTTAACAAGCTTGTCTCGCTAGATCAATTACGACTAAGTAGTGAGTTCGATCCACACTGGGTGCTCTAAACTTTCGGCCTTGTGCCACATCTAAGCTACACTTAGAAATCGTCTTAGTTACTTGGACGTGGTGTAATAGTTAGCAAGCTTGTTTCGCGAGATCAATTACGACTAAGTAGTAAGTTCGATCCACACTGGGTGCTCTAAACTTTCGGCCTTGTGTCACATCTAAGCTACACTTAGAAAATCGTCTAAGTTACTTCGACGTGGTGTAATAGTTAACAAGCTTGTCTCGCGAGATCAATTACGACTAAGTAGTGAGTTCGATACACATTGGGAAGATTTTTACATACATAACGATTATTTTAGATAAATATACTTATCCTTTAAGAATGGGTTTAATAAAGGTTGTTGGTACTATATGAGATTTTTGACGTGCATTTATAGTTGGTAATATATTTATTAGTAATCCCTCGAAGTACTTTAGACATAACTGTGTTCTTTTTAAATTAGGATGGTCTTTGTAAAATCAAATGAATTATGTATCGACAGTTTCAAAATTAAAGTTCTTCGATTTGCTTTTAAAGGCCGGCTTGGGTGTAAAGATTCGGATCAAATAATCGGAGAAAACATATTTTTCTTAGATTATTAACGCTGTGTGATCGAATTGATGAACCTTTCAATCTTACAAGCATTTCGAATCAAAATCATACTTATTATAAAACCCAGGTTGTGTGTGTGTGTGTGTGTCTGTTCGTTTATATATTGGATCTGATTTCCTACATTTTTCAACCGATTTCAACAAAAATTCACAGGACTACGTAAAATTACCTTGCGGTGGTTCTGACAGCGCCAAAAACTTGGAAAAACACAATTGTTTTTGCACGAAATCAATTTGAAAACACGATTAAGAGGCATCGCTGTCGCCAGAATGAAAGGGAGACAACTCATATCGATTTATACTTATTATAAACCCAAGTTGTTTGTGTGTGTGTGTGTGTGTGTGTGTGTGTGTGTGTGTGTGTGTGTGTGTGTGTGGACGCGCGCGTGTGTGTTCGTTTATATATGGGATCGGATTTCCTACATTTTTCAACCGATTTCAACAAAACTTCACTTTTATTTTGGCAGGTAGTGTTTCTTATTTTCTTGCACACTTTTATCTTTATTTTTACATTCAGAATGCTTTAAAAATTCCATTTACAAGACAATTGTTTATAATAAAATTCTATTCAATCAGTAGACTCATAACAATTGAAAACAATGTTTTTGTTTGAGTTTGGGTTTGACCAATTCGTAAAAAAAAAAAAAACTAATTAAGACATGCGTGTCCGTCAACCTTAAACACTAATCTTTGTCAATTTTATTTTTCAGTCTTTATGATGGTCGATACTTGATCTATCTCTTACTGTTACATCTCCGGTCAACGCCGGGCTCTATTGCTAGTTATTAATATTTTTATAAATAATATTTGTAATTACATATGATTTGTGTATTTGGGAGTAATGCTTTTCAAGGTTCTTTTTTATCGATTTTTTCTTCTTTGTTTTTTCTTCTTCTTCTTCTTTTACTTCTTTAATTTTCGTCTTTTTGTTTCTGTTTTTCTTTCTCCTTTTTTTCACCTTACGTTTTTTTTCCATCTTTTTTCTTCTCTTGGTCTATTTTCCGCATTTCTCCTTCTACCCTTTCTGTCTCTTTCTACCTTTCCTCTGTTTTCTGGCGTGTTTATATCTCTTCACCTGCTTCTCTCTGTCGTGTCTTCCTTTTTCTTTCATCCTTTTTTTGATCATTTCACCCCCAAGCAAGACAATAATGCCAACTAAGACGCACGAATATTACTGGGAGGGAAGCAAAAAAGCGGAAGCGAGTTCCACAGGCGAGAAGTGTGAGACCCTTGATCTATCCATTATCCTTCTTCTCATCTTTTCCTCTATCACTCCTATCTGATCTTGCTCCAAATTTTCTGTAACCCCTTGCGTCCTAGTGGCTTCTCGCCTTGCTTGGGGTGAAACGATTAAAAAAAAATAAATAAATTACTCGAATAGAACATACAGTTGCATCTAGCTAGTTCAACAGTAAATGTAGAGTGACCTGACGTATACATACACATATACATTTAGGCAGCAATCCTTCTTTCATGCATGTTTCATTAAATATGACAGACAAGGTGCTTTGATTAAGTATTTTTTTAAATAATTCCTCATATGATCTTAAAATTAAAAAAAAAAAAAAAATTATACAAAAACTGGCCAAATGTCTTATTTTTCCAAGCACTTTCGGCTATACCTTTAGTCATTATCACGGATGACTTCTACTTAATGTTAAATGGAAATAGATTGTTGTCTGTTTTATTTTCAAAACACAGTCAACATATTGTGTCCATGTTTATGTTTATATATATATATATATATATATATATATATATCAAATATGTGGTGCAGTTCAATTTATATTACAACGAATCATTCATACAAAATGTAGCTTAGTAAAGTTAATGATATAAAATGGCGAAATCCCTTCGCTAACAAAATTTTAAAGGTGCATTAACCTCCAAATCACTCGATGAATGTTATGAGCCTTGTTTTTAAAAACAACAAGAAATTCTAAAATTGCCATATTAGTAAAAAACGCACTCTCTATATTTCTGAGATGAGGTATTATGTACAATATTTACATTATTCAGACTAATGTCCTCATCTTTGTCGCCATATTTATTACAACGTTTCGGCCGTTGTACACTGCGGCCATATTCAGGTGGTTGAAATGTCGAACTAAACACTTTATTTCGCTCACTGGGGTAGACTGTTCTAGTTCCACGTGCCATGTTTAATGGATGTCAGTTATCAGTCATCTCCTGTTAATTCCCCTCTCCGAGTTCACCACTGCCTTAACCGGATATTGAACTCACACTCTTTGGGTCCTGTCAATGGATCTAACCAAAGCCTTTATCCACTGTGCCCATGTATCCTCAAGGCAGTTAAGGCAGTGGAGAACTTGGAGAGGGGAATTAAGAGGATTGCATCTAGCAAGTTAACACTCGGGGGAGATTGGCTGAAACAGCCTGTCGCCCCCGAGTGTTGACTTCAATGTTCACTTTTATATTTATATACGATCTATCGCTGATATTGAGCACTTTATCCCATAAATATAGTACACCTTAAAACTATATATATACATTTACCGGCCTGAATGTCCGAGAAATATTTAGAAAATATTCGTCCTTTGATTCATTCGAACGCCGCATCCTATACGGACCGTCATTTACGCTGACGTGCCTAACCTCTCGAAGCCAAAGGGCGTTCGGCAGGGCAAGGTCAATTTACTGCTTATAAACTTCGACCTTGCCTACCGAACGCTCCTTTGTGGCCGATCGGTAAGGCACGTCAGCGTAAATGACGGTTCCGTATAGGATGCAGGTTCGAATCCTACCAAAGGACGAATATTTTCTATGAAAATTTCTCGGACATTCAGGCCGGTAAAATGTTATTTAATACTGTTTATTATAAACAGAGCATTTACTTAAATACTTGTATCTATAAAAAAGAACGTTAAACATAAAAATGTC